GTGCCGGCGTAGCGGGGCTCCCGCGGGGAGCCGGCGGAGCGGCCAGGGTGGCCTTTGCACTGAAGTGGATGCAGGAGCGTCCCCAGGGAGACCCATCCCCATCCCATATCCCCATCCCCATCCATCCCCATCCCCATCCATCCCCATCCCCATCCCCTGTCCCCGTCCCTGCAGGGGGTGCTGCTGGGGAACTGGGGGATGCTGGTGGGCTGAGGCTCTGGGGATCAGGGGATGCTGCTGGACCAGAATGCTGAGGATCAGGGGATGCTGCTGGATTGGGGAGCTGGGGGACTGGGGAATGCTCCTGGACTGGGACACTGGAGGATCAGAGGATGCTGAGGGATTGGGGGATCTGGGGGATGCTCTGGGACAGGGACACCCAGAGATCAGTGGGTGCTGCTGGTCTGGGGAGCTGGGGGCTCCCTTCTCTGGCCCAGTGGCAGTGGTGGGACAAGTGTTCCTGCAATGTGTGGGGCGGAATGAGTGCCCGGGCCCTGGCCCACGGCCGCCTGCTCCCGGCAGCCGAGGAGGAGTCTGGCAGCTTCTACGTCCTGCTCACCGTCACGCCCGTGGTCCTCATGGTGCTCATCTCCTGCCTCGCCGTCTTCGTCTTCTTCTACAACAAGAAGAGGTAGCGACCCCCCCCCCTGCACCCCCAGGGCTGGGCTGGGGCCGGATCCCGCCACGGCAGGGCTGGGAAAGGGTCGTGGGGAGGTGGCATCGTGCCCTCGCCCCCCATCCTGAGTGATGCCCACCCCTCGCAGGAGCAACGACGGGTACCCCAGCGGGACGCTCTACGCCTCCGTCAACCCCGAGTACTTCAGTGCCTCGGACAGTACGTGGGGACGGGGAGGGGCGTCCTCGCTGGGGCCATGCCGGCAGGGCTGGAGATGGGGATGGGATGGGGATGGGGATGGGGCTGGAGATGGGACGGGGCTGGAAATGGGCCTGGAGATGGAGATGATGGAGATGGAGATGATGGAGACAGAGATGGAGATGGAGACGGAGATGGGATGGGGCTGGGGTTGGGGTTGGTGCTGGAGATGGGAATGGGGCTGGAGATGGGAATGGGGCTGGAGATAGGGCTGGAGCTGGGGATGGAATGGGGATGGAGATGGGGATGGGGATGGAGATGGTGACGGGGATGGGGATGGTGACAGTGATGGGGTGGTCCCCCCTCGCCCCGCAGTGTACATCCCCGATGAGTGGGAGGTGTCGCGGGAGAAGATCACGGTGATCCGGGAGCTGGGGCAGGGCTCCTTCGGGATGGTGTACGAGGGGCTGGCGCTGGGGTTGGCCACTGAGGGCGAGGAGACCAAGGTGGCCCTGAAGACGGTCAATGAGTTGGCCACCATGCGGGAGCGCATTGAGTTCCTCAACGAGGCCTCCGTCATGAAAGCCTTCAAGTGCCACCACGTGGTAGGTGGGCGGCCGGAGGGGAGGGAGGGGACATGGGCGGGGGTCCGGCCGCTCACGTGCCACCCCATTTGTCCCCCCAGGTCCGTCTGCTTGGTGTTGTGTCCCAGGGCCAGCCAGCTTTGGTCATCATGGAGCTGATGACACGTGGGGACCTGAAGAGCTACCTGCGCTCGCTCAGGCCTGACGCCGAGGTGAGGGGCTGGGCGGGTGCCGCAGTGCTCCAGGGGTGAAGGGCACCCACCTTGTTCCCGGGGGGGTCCTGGTGTGTCCCCCCAGCCCCGACTCTCTGTGCACGGTGCAGAACAACCCCGGGCTGCCGCCGCCGTCACTCAAGGACATGATCCAGATGGCGGGGGAGATCGCCGACGGCATGGCGTACCTCAACGCCAACAAGTTCGTGCACCGGGACCTGGCTGCCCGCAACTGCATGGTGTCCGAGGACTTCACCGTCAAGATCGGAGGTGAGTGGGCAGCGGCAGGCAGGCTCACTGCCAGCCCTGCATCTCCTGGCGCTCACGCCTTCCTCCTCCTCTTCCTCCTCTTCCTCCTCCGCCAGATTTCGGCATGACCCGGGATATCTACGAGACAGATTATTATCGGAAAGGGGGCAAGGGGCTGCTCCCCGTCCGCTGGATGTCCCCCGAGGCCCTCAAGGATGGCATCTTCAACACGCAGTCCGACGTCTGGTAGGTGTTGGGGTGGGGGGAACCCGGGGGGGATTTGGGGGACGTCCCCCGGCTGAGCGGCGGCATGCCGGCAGGTCCTTCGGCGTGGTGCTGTGGGAGATTGCCACGCTGGCCGAGCAGCCCTACCAGGGCATGTCCAACGAGCAGGTCCTGCGCTTCGTCATGGACAACGGCGTCCTGGAGCGGCCCGAAAACTGCCCCGACAAACTGTGAGTGGGGGGTGAGACCCCCCCAGATCCCCACCCTGCTGTGGGAAAGGCTGGGGGGGGAATCGGCCCTGAGCCCTGGTCTCTGCTGTGTCGGGATGGCCGTGGGGTGCCGGGGCCCCCCCAAACCCAGCGGTCGCCCTCTCTCCCACAGCCATGAGCTGATGTGCCGGTGCTGGCAGCAGAACCCGCGCCAGCGCCCTTCCTTCATCCAGCTCCTGGAGAGCATCAAGGACCACATGGCTCCCGCTTTCCGCACCCTCTCCTTCTTCTACAGCCCCGAGAACCGCCGGCGCGGCTCGGGCGGACCCTCCGACCCCGGGCCGGGTCCGTCCCCCGGGGGGGCAGAGCCC